TTAATCCATCTTCTTGTAGATAGTTATTAGTTATGACAGTTTTTTATTATTCTCGTTTCCAGTTTTTCTCTCAATCAATTCTTCTCATAGTCTAAGAATTTCATATTCCATGGCAAGCTAGTCAAGATCTCTCAGAGATAGTTTCGAATCACTAGAATCAGATCTCCGCCTGAGGTTAATTTGCGAGACTGGTAGTTTGGTGTCATCATCAGAACTGGGAAAGGCCACTTTTCTTTCTTTCGTACCGCACGAGGACTTGCGGCTGTTCCCGCGAGGATTCCCGCGAGGATTCCCGCGAGGTCTATCCGCACCACCTCCTTCAGACAACAGGGGCAGACACCTAAAAGCAGCAGTGTAGCCCTGAAGCGCTTTAGCGTGGAAGCGCATCTCCGCCAGCAGGAAGTCACTGAGAATATGATACCAGTCTTCCCTCTTCTGTTCCTCAAAATGCTTCATTCCTATCTTAACATCCTCACAGGACCGTTCGGCCTCACAGCGAGCTTTCTCGAATTTTACACTTGCCTCGTTGATGTTCCTAGGGTCCACAGGCGTCTTATTTTTCGCCTTTTGAAGCAGAAGAAGTCTTTGGTTCTTTTTGCGTACCGCATCCTCGCATGCTTTCACGCTTTTCTTCATTTCCAGACACTTCCCTTCATTGGCCTTGATGTCACTTGAGATTTTTCCTTGTAGAATGTCTTTCAACGCACGCCGCTGTGTCTGGATAGCAGACAAATGTCTGGTGAAGTTCGCTAGATTTCTTTTAACGCCATTGTTGCTTTCCGGGTCCGAATTACAAATTACCATTGCTTAGGCTAATTTTTCTCCTCTTTGTGCAAGCTTCCCTGTGATTGTGGCGTATTTTTCAACGCATCGCGCCATATCAGCAAATTGATCTTCCGTCTCTTCAATTCGTTTGTTGTATTCTTCCATCTCTGGAATCTTGTCGACCCGTAAAGTCCTTTTTAGAACTTCGCACACTTCAGTCATATTGTTTGTCATCTTGATCCGCAAAATTGAACTAAAGTAAGTATTCGCCAGGTTTTGTTTATGACATCAAAATAAGCCAGCGCGCGCAACAGACTATTCGTACCTGTTTGATTTTGACGTTGCTCGAAGCTCGTTTAGCTTTGAAGTTAATATTAAACTACAGAGTTAGTTTTTCAACAACATCTGAATGATGCCAACGGCTATTACCAGAGCTGACCATAGCTCCCTGACACAAAATGCTTCACGATGAACTACAGCAAGAGCTGAGCTTCTTCTGGATAAGGGTAAGCATTGAGCATACCTGTCCTCTCTGCTCTCTCTTGGAGTGAGGAGGCTTATCGGCTGACGGGTTGGTTAGCCTGTGTGACTGGCGTAAAGCGGGAAGGGGGAAGTAAAAGAAACGTGCGACCGTAGGTCCCAGTCCTCCATCCTGTTTTCTCGGCTGACACGGTTGGTCATTGTTACTTATTCGTAGAAGGAGTCTTTTAAGAGCTGATATCTAAGCTGTGCTTTGCTGAGTTTTTTTTGTAAGGGTTGGCACGAATAAGTTCAAATTTTTCATTTATTTCTCTCTAGAGAGAGAATTCAAGATTTCATAATTCAGTAATCATGCAGACCTGTAACATGCTGACATTTATGCTAGATGTGAGAATTTGTTATTGGATCAATAATCTCCTGATGGATAATTTTCTTCATCCTCATCACTTGTCTGCTTGATATTACATTGATATTGCATGGAGAAATTCTGTCTTGGTCACTCATGGGAATAATCAAACTACCACAAAACAACTTGGGAGATTTTATCTTATTAGTGCTTAAATGTGTAAATTTATTTCCCTTAAAGAGTTCTTGAGTTTTACAAATACAACATAATTTGAAGATTTCATACAAAGGAATTAACAAACCAGAATTGAACAGAGAAGCAGATATGACACAACCCATATAATTTGGAGTTGCATTTGGATAACATAAAACATTCATTAAATTATCATCTCATTTTGGTTGAGGAGCATTCACTAGTTATAACAGTGTAACTGTCTGTACAAAAAAATATCCTAAGCAGTAATAACTACTCTTAAATGTTCTTTTGACAGATTACTTTGTCTTTAAATTGCACTTTCAAGCTGATGTGTATGTACAAAGCTGCAGTGAACATCTAGGGTTCTCATGCAACCTCTTTGAATGAAAGGGAAAATATATCAATAACATTAAAAGGTCAATGTGGTGTGCATACCATAATTCCAAGAAAATAATGGCTCGCAAAGAAATAAATTAAGAAAATGAGCTTAGTATTGTTTTCCCATCACTAGTTGATAAGCATATCTACAGTCTAAAGTGACATATCACTTACAACCACAAAAATACAAAAACTTGGGAGTCAAGTAGAAAAGGTAATGAAGTGGTTACTATGCCATTTTCAAATTACCTTTGGCCTCTTTTTCAAAATGAGGCCTGGTGCTCAGCCATTCAAATCAAAATGAGCTTAATTTGCATGTGAATGAAAAATTAAGTTCATATGATTGGATGAGCTCCAGAACTCCCTTTGAAGAGGCCAAAGGTTATTCAGAAATGGGCTATTGGACATCCTCTTTATTTCTGGTATAAAAGAGAATGAATTGCTTAGAAGTGTTCAAATATGTTTAGGCTTTTCTTTAGAGTTTCTCCTGCATAAATTTTAATGGATGTTTCATTGCCATTTTCCTTTGGCATAAGCCATGAATTAACCTATCTGGTTATACAATCCTCTCTAAAAGAGAAATTACTATCAGAATGTTTGAACTGGTATATCCAGCAGGTTCGTCATAATGGTAAGTATGCTTAATTACTGATTAAAGGGAAAACCATTTTGTAAATTGGTTTTAGACCACCTCTACTGTAAGCTTTTGTGGCAAACTTAAAAGTGAAGAAGAAGAAGATTCTTACATACTTCACCCATTCAGTTCAGCATTTGCTCCAAATAACAAACTAATGCGCATGATGTAACCACATTAGCAAAGTAGTAATTACAAAATTTGTATCTTTTTTACCAAAGATGCAAGAGGGTTTGGAACACAGTTAAATGATGCTATTAGCTATGATGACCTCGACCAAAACAAGAAGTGAATAAAAATGTTGCTCAGATCAACCAAAAGAGCACTGATCCTAATCTTTCTTTAAGGTTGGTATTTCAGAAGGAGTGAAATAATTCAAGAATAGCATTGCACCGATGCAATAACTGTCTCTCGTTATGTTATGACTACATCAAATATTTCTATTGACAATAAAATTTTAAAAAAAATTGTAAATTCTTTATAAATCAATCAGTGATCAATGATTGACTTAAGCTGTACTTCGTGAAGTTAGGATGCACTTGCAAAGTCTGAAGAACAAATAGCCAAATTAGCTTTACAGGATGTCCAAGACTTTGACGGTTTACAATTCCTGCATGCATTATGGTTGATTGTGATTTTACAATTTATTTTCGTTCCATGTGGCTATGGCGTTAATGTTTGTAAACAATGAACGATGCTTTTACCAAACATATTGTCCTCCGCCATGTTCCTGTCACTCAAAAACAAAATCACGAACAACGAAAAAGGCCACTTGCAACCTTTAAGAAGACAGAAACAGACACTTCCCTCTTGACTTGAAGTGCTTGTTGCCCATATTGTAAAGGACGAGGTTTTAAGCCGTTGGTGATGGAATTTCTAATGAAGCGGCTGGTCTTAACTCTTCATTTCTCTCTTGTTCATCCATATCCTCAAACAGAGACTCTATCTTATTAGACTGGTACAGTTTTTCTATTCCAAGGTTAGATCCTTCCAAAATCGACTCCACAACGTGATCAGGAATTAATCGATTTTTTCGTCGTTTAGCTCTTTCGAGAACTGTGTCCAAAGGAACTCTGGGCAAACGTTTCACGCGGACATGATAGCCTACTGATTTTAAGCGATTCATATAATCTATTAGCTCCAAATATTTAACACATGTTCCTTCTGCTACAAAGCTGATCTTCTGCTCCAAGATCCAGTCGGTAAGATGAATAGCAATGTTACGAGCGACTGGATAATATTCCTCTACCTTGTTTGACTCAAATCCTTTCAACATTCCCATGATTTCGTCTGTGTCTACATACGCGTAATTCCTGAAAACTGAATGGGTCTTAAACTCGTCATTTATAACAGTAGTCTTCCCTGCTCCCATAGGGCCCAAAACGAAAATCGCATCACAACGATATTGCGTGTACAGAAACCTTCGCTTCCACTTACTCTCCATAAGTTTCGTCTCTTGGGCATCGAGGTAGAAGCTGGAGATACTTTCTTCCTTCGTCTCCACTCCGTTAAGATCTTTCATGTCTCCTGACATAAATCTGGAAGTATAAAAGCGAACAAGAGCTTTATATAGGCAAGAACGCGGAAACCGAAAGCAGAAAAATCTTGAATGGACTCTCAACCCAGTGCGAGGGAGTCGTGACGCCATGTTTTTATATACTCTAAAGTTGTGGGCGTGACGTCACTAGACCACAGAGGGGTGGGTTAGAAGGAGGCGATCAGTCAGTCAGTGAGTGCTTTGCACGTGCTACTACATTCACCCATCCATCTCCGTTACAAACTGCATCCAACATCCTGAATTACATTTTACAACCGGGAAAATGCATAGGACTTAGAAAGCAGGCAGAGAAGAAGAAATACTTCATCCGCTCGAGTGTCTTCTCTACCTGATTAGCTGAAGCTTAGCCGGAGCTCAAAGTCTAGCTGTTCAGGATTGCGCAATAGACCGTTGACGGTGCAATTTTTATTGGAGAATTATTTTTAGATCCCTACAGCTTGACTGACGGCAGCCACTTGTTACTCAGAAAATTATTACATTATTCATCACTAGGAGGCGAAGAGCTTATGGTAACCAAAAAAGGAGTAACCTCGCTCCCAAGGCCTCTTCCCTTGCTTGGGGGTCGACTCAGAAAGGTAGCGATGGGAAAACACACGGTCAGTATGGATTTTATACGTCGTAGGAAGAGCTCTCCTTTACTGTACATCAGGCTCATTCTGATCAGCTCCAGAGTTTTTTTTTTTTTTTTCATACATGCAGAGTTTTTGTTTTGCACTTTAGAGTTGAATGATCTTGGAGTCGTTTTTCACTAAATTTACACATTGTGAAAGTTAATTACGATCATGGTCCACTTGTCAGAACGGAAAAGAATGTACTTTACAGATTGAGATAAGGGCCATGAAAGAATGAAGTCATTAAAAGAACTACGTAATTACTTGATCTTAAACTTCAAGTATTACAAAAAAAGTAAGGAGTGTTGGGTACGATTCCGTCAACCGACAGGTGCGGTTAGAGATTATTCATTCACGTCAGAAAGTTTTCTCGACACTGTGTTCAAGGAGTAGTTTTGCCCACAATTTGTTTTATCCACCAAACTTAGATAAATTGCGGCTATTTAATAGATGCACCGATCTGCAATCGCGTTTTCAGGGAAAAATAAACAAAGGAAACTTAAAGAAAGCGAAAACCAACCCGAAGTTATTCAGCGTATAGAGTACTATTTCGTGATCTTAATAGTTCCGAAACTTATGTTTTAATAACTTATCTAGGTTCATTTAGATTCATGTCCAAACGTCTCATTCCTTGTTTTTTGTTTTGTTGTTTTTCAATCATCTATTACGATCTGGCGCTCGTCAGGGACGAAAATAAATTTTAGAAATTAAAATCAATTGCGTTTTGTTGTTGCTGTGGAATTGTTGTTCATCATTGCTGCCGATTAAGTGCACTTTTCATCATTCGTCCCGCACTTTGTTCCGGAAAGTCTTAACCCGTTCCATATATGGATCATACGGGATCTTCCTCTCACAGCGATCGCCGCCATGATGAACAGAAGCGGCGTAATGCGCTTGGAAACTCGAAGCCGAGCCAAGGATGATGTCAAACGGGTTATGCTGTCAGTGGAGCGCGTAAGGAAATGGTAATCGCAAAACCTTTACATACTTGAACCCGGAAATGTAGCATCGCCGTCAGTTATTTCATTTTATGCATTTTCGGCGAATTCATTCATTGTTACACAAAAGCCGTAATCGCGTAAATCTGTTGCTCATAGCTCACAAGATCTTACCCGATCTTAACATTATTCTCGTTATTTTGTTGATTTACAGGGAAAAGAAATGGGTTAATGTCGGTCCAAGCAGCTGTACCTTGAAAGTTTTCAAATGGGTCCCGGGTAAGTTCATCTATTGAAATATTATTTTGATCTGTCAAATTCCATTGTTTTGCACACGTGCCCGATTTGTGACAGCTAATTTAAAACTGCCTTCGTGACTCTAGATCTGTTTATAATTTTTTCCTAATAATGTCGAGATGTTAGTATTATCTATTGTTATCGAGGATTGTAAAATACTCATTTATGATTTTAAGTAGCCAGTTCGTAAAGAACATAGAGACATATTTATCTTTATTTTTGACTTGTCAGTTTCTTAACAAACAGAGGTCCGTGGATCGGAAGGTGGCCAGGAGCTTTTAAGTGAAATGGCTTAGTGTCCCCTATTTACATATTTGGGGCCAGAAAGACCAGAAATGTTAATTTTTATTTAATCTCTTGTAGTGAGTCAAGACCAGAGCAAGAAAGAGGTATGGGGTAAAGTTTTTGGTGAAATCTGATCAAATTACGATTGTCAACTCTAGACATAACTTGCTCATATATCTGTTGTGGTGAGATTTCTTTCAATTACATCACAAATAATTTGATTGAAGTGTAAACAGCTGTTTGAACAACAAAAAAAAAAAACAATGTTGTTGTACATGACTTTGATTATGCTTATGTTTGGTAATGCAGGAGAAAATCAGAGGGAAAAAACATGTCACAACAAGCAATTGTAACACTGGTAAGTTTTGTTTGTCCTCTTTTATGGGGAAATAGTGAAATTTTATTTTTGTGCAGTGGTTTCAATCAAAAGATGTTAAAAATGGGTAGATTAGAGTAGCAAGCAGGGAATGACTGTAGTTTTGAAGGCCTGGATAGCCTCCTATACTTAAGGAGGTAAGGGCTTCTCAGGGTAGCTATGAAGTTCTGTACTCTTGCAGTTTAATTTCATTTATGCTGCTTTGTTGTTCTTCAAAGTTAGCCAATTTGAGCAAACATGAATGAATTACATATATGTTCTAAGTACAATGACATCTGTGTAAATGCTTCATAATGGTAGCTACTATTTAATTCCTGTTTGTGTGTTTCACTGTTTAAACTCTGGTGGTAGCTGGCAAAATTCCATAAAGTTGTAATGGGATTTATTTTCCATTGTTTTCTGTTTGATCTTCTTTCATACTCCTTTTTATGCTTATGATTGTCTGGTTATCCTTTTCACTTCATTTTTTTAAGGTTTTGAATGAGCTCATTTATGCCTCTGCAAATCAATTCTAAAATGTTGTTGTGAATTTGTCAACTAGATGAGGGAGACAGAGACAATCAGTCTATTAGCTCAAGTGTTGGTGAAACTAATGACAGTGCTGCATCATCCCCAAGTTCATCCCAGCAGCATTCTGTAGACTTATCAACAGATACATCTGTGAGAACCAAGTTTCAACCAGTGCATCCTTTAGAGCTGAGTAATAACAAAACGTCACAAGGGGAGGGTGGTGGTCTTCCAACAAGCACAAGTCCAATCAAACGACGAGCAAGTCAGGCTGAGGAGCTCTTGAAAGCAGAAGAGGCAGGAGGTACAAGCTAACTAGCCCTTCTTTATTGCATGTCTTTGAAAGAATTCCAAGGCTTTGCTCTAAGAAAAATTGAAGGGAGCCCAGTGCTCTGAAACTGTGAAATCCAGGGTGCCCAGCCTATGCTTTTTATTAAAAAAACTAAGATTCTTGAGTCGCCCAAGAGCAAAAGTAAGGCGCCAGGGGCCACTGGGCACTGCTAGACCACAGCCCTGATTGCTGTTTAAGTTATAAGTCCTAGAATAGAATAAAAACCTCAACATGCCAGTAAGATGTTCATTATCACCTTTAACCCTAAGAGCAACCAGCACCTTATTTCCCCTTACAGTAATACTCATAAATCATTTACTAAGATCATGAGAATAAAGGGAATGAGCACCAACTAAAGAAGCTCCTGGTTGTTAAAAAGTCTCCTTATCAATATCTAAGGAAATGTATAGAGAACATTATGGAGAACATGCATACTGATGTAAGGGTATGGAGGGTTAACTAAGCCAGTGTGTGATTTTCATAAGCAATGTTAACTCAGGGCTGCAAACAATGGCCGGTCAACGGACAATGTCTGGTCAAAATTGGGTACTGACCGGACAAATCCTTGGATTGCCGGACATCTTGTCCGGTCCTTTACCGATTCGTTCAAAGAAATTTTAATTTTTAATTGTTTGATAATCACAAGGACAACAGTAATGTTTCTGAAAGGAAAAAAACGAATATAAAAGAAATTCTCAGCAGTGGCAAATTTCCACGATGTCATCAAGTCCTGTCGCGACCGCAAATCATCATGTACTCCGTTATTTTATTTGCTTTATTTAAGTGTTCCCAGTTAGTAGAGGGTTTTACCTTTGGCTAGATACCATAATTTACTCTTAAATAAAGTGATTGTTTGATTGATTGAATGATCAGAAACTGAGCACCCTCGCAAAGAATAATCTTGCTGCATCGAGAATACTCCAAGTAGCATTTGTTGCAAAGTGCAAAAAGCGAGCAAAAGGCCCAAAACCTGGAGAATCCGACCACTCTTTCACTCCAACAAAAATTCACAATGGTAACTTTAAAAAAAAAGGGCTCTGAGTTGTACTGAAAACAAAAAAAGTCAAGATATATAAAAAGAGAATTTGTTTGGCTGCTTCTGCAGTAAAGAGTAGTAAAATTATTAACTTGGGTTCAGTTGTTTTTCAGTTGCTTTTTAGTTGTAAAAGGATTACTGTGCAATCTGGGTTCACTATCGCAAGAGTTCCAACTGTTAAAATTTGATCAACCAAAAACAGGTAGTGTCCGAGCAAAAGCATATTTGACCGGACAACGTGACCGGCGACTGCCGGCTAGTTATTTGCAGCCTTGTAACCTTAATTAAAGTTTGTATATTCATGAAGTTTTCCAATTCAAACCCTTTTTTCTTTAGAAAATCACACAGATTTAACATTTTGGCTTTGGGATATTTTTTTGCTGCAGTGAACTTTGAGGAAAGTGACAAAGGAAGTCTTGGTAATGACGACAACTCTTGCAGTGCCTTTGATCTCAATGAAGACAGCAACTTAAGTATCAATGATGCCAATAATGATGACAATGAAGTGGACAATAGCTATGTTAGTAATGAGGATGATGAAAATGAAGATAATGAAATTGATGAAGATGAAAATGATGATGATGACGATGGCAATGGCGATACCCAAAATACATTTGAAGGAGAGGAAAGTAACCTTGTGCCTTCTATTGCAAGGTAAATTGGCATGAAAGTAATTGTTTTTCCATCCAAATTTACAGGATGCTCGCTACATCATTAAAACAACTCAATGTTCTTTCAAGAGAAAGTCAATTCATTTCTCAGCCTTGACAGTTAATAATTTCATGTGCATACTGCTTAATCAAGATGAAGAATAGTATGGTGACAAAAGAAAGAGAATCCAACAGACTTAATTATCCCATGACAGTTAAGTTGACTAAAACAACTGCAGACATTGATCATGAGATTATAACTTACCTGTTCATTTATCTAAGTGAAGAGAGTGCCACCATTTCATATCGACTGGGGATGGGAATGATCCCAGATGAAGAAGACTCAAGAGACTTTGAGAGCACCAATGATAGCTCATTACAACCTGTGACAGATCTGATGGGTGTGGCAGATGGGCCATCTAATGAGGCTGAGCAAATGCCATCTCAAACTACTACTGATATCTCAAGCATGTTGGAGCAAGACAGTAACCAGGAGGTAGGCAAATTAAAACAGCTTCAATAAGTTTATGATGATGTAGATGTATGTATTTATAATGCAAATACACTGCTGCCTTCAAATTAATGCAAATAAGGCAATGATTTCTGTCAAAAATTTGGAAACTGGTGTAACACACTTTTACAGCCTGATGACAAATTATTCATTACTTTGAGGTAAACTGATTGTCATGGATATTTTTAATACTGATGTATCAGTGCATTAAGAGACTGATGTTTCCGACTGTTTTGTTTCCCAGGGCCCATAAAATATTCAGGGAATTTATCAAAGTTTGAATTAATTTACAAATCTTTAGTGCTACTCCCAGTCAAGTGTATCTGCATGTGTTTTTATCAATTTAATTTTGTGTATACATTCAAACTTTAATTTTTTTGTTGTTGCCATTGCTTTTAGGGAACCGACTGTCCACCGCTAAAGAGACCTCGCACTGAGTCTCCCAGTGAGGAACAAGAACAATAATGTTGTTGTGGTAGTTAATTTTATTTTCTTTTGTAGAAAAAAGATTAAAATGATATTTATATGGTAAAAAAAAGAGATTAAATAAAATATTGGTTACTATTTATTGGAGAACCAGAGTAAAAGTTAAAAGCTTACATTAAGCTCTCCTCAAATGAATACTGTAGTTGTTTTTGTAAAGAATATGTTTTGTAAGGAACATCATGTCTTCCTTGTAATCAAGACTGTACTCTGTACACCCTTATCCTGGGAACATTAGCAGTTTTTGATTTAGTGTGAATTAACCTACTCTCCTTCGTTACAAGGCTTTTTGTATCATTATGGCATACTCCTACCAGTTAGTCAATTTCTTGGGGATGGGGTGCTTTTGCTTGCCCCTAGGGACTTGAAAGAGGCACTGACTTTTGATATTGAATGCAAGTGTACTGTGAACATTTTGCTTCTGTATAGTTCAAGTGGTCTTTAGAAGTCTTTAAATTGAGAAAAAAGTGGATTGTGTGTACATGAATAAAGATTTTTCTCCAACCGATTGTTTGTTTGCTTTAGTGGTCAACAAAAACTACTTTGAGAAATTGTGGATTTGCACTTTAAATTGGATATCTTTCTTAACAAAACTGTTGTATGGTTTCTTTTCTTTCTCCTACCTTTATAATCACAAATTAACGAGGGTCAATTTCCATCCTCAGATTATAAAGTATTCTCAATGATTATTGTGGCAAAGTCTAAAACATCATCCACTGGGATCTGAGTGATAAGACCAAGTTGCTCTATAACCTAAACAATGATAAAAAAATATTCATTTGGAGTCAGAAAGCTGACTGCATAAAAAATTACAGTTAATTAAAATGCTAGTAAACATATTTTGAGCTAGTGCAGTGTTTGGGCATGAGGGTAAAGGAAACCAACAAGTTGAATTACTAAGGGGGTTAATGTTGAAGGATTTTGCCAAAGAATACTGAGTGAAGTTACCTAACTTCTGAATCAGTTCTTCCATGGCCTAAACAGAAAAACATGAAACAAATCATGCAAACGTCAAACAGTGGACAATGACTGATTAAAAAAAACAAAAACAAAACAACTCTCATCAGGTGCACCATGACAATCAAATGATTGCAAATAAATTCTTTATTACCATGTCACTTGTTGTCTGATTCACAATGTAGGATGCTGCCCCAATGACTGACACAGCAAGCAACATTAGATCACTACTAATGATTGCCAAGCTTTGTCTGCCATCTTTAATACAACTTTCTCCTGTTGCAGCCATACACAACTTGCTGTAGATTTCTTCAAACTTGAGGTACACTATGTCAAGGAGTTTTACACTGGCATCATGAAGTAGTTTAACTTGAGCTCTTGTGTCATTGTGTCCTAATTGAATGTTAAATACAACAGCTTTTTAGAAGGGCAGTGGTAAGATGGTGAAATGAAAAAATTTTCTCTGAGTGGGTTGACCAGCCAGTGAATCGGTTAGATGGTAAGAGATGTTATTATATGGCTGTGTCTCACAAAGACTGGGAACTACCGAATTCACAAATTTGATTGGCTGAAATCAATATTGAAAGCGGTCTAGATTTCCCATCTAGACCCGCATCTAGACCGGTCTAGAAAAAAAAGGTACAAAGAATATAAAACAATTGGCATACAATTGTGCTGGTGACCTCAGTCAAGATTCTCCCATACAGACCTCCCACTCGGTTAATAAGCACTAAATATTATAAGGAGAGCTAAGATACTAGTCACTCTGGATCAATGTTACTGTAAGTAGTGTTGGCTGACATGGCGACCGACATGTTGGTCGATAGTCAGTCAACAGTTGGTCGATAGTCGGTCGACAGTCGGTCAATAGTCGGTTGATAGTCGGAAAATAGTCGGTCGAAATGTCGGTCGATATGTCGACCGATATGTGTCGGCCGATAGTCGGTCAACATATCAGCAGACAGTCAGTCAATATTTGACCAACACTTGGCCGACACTCGGTTGACACTTGGCGGATGCTTCACCGATACTTCACTGACACTTAATCATATACCTGAAAGGTTATGCCTTCAAATTAAATTTTTCTTCAAATCAAATTTTTCAATACCGACACTGCAACAATACACAACCACACAAGCGACGTTCAAACTATATTTACCGATAAAGTTTAGACACTTGACTGATAGACTACCAACACTCGGCCGATAGACCACTGACACTTGACCGATATTCCACTGACACTTGACTGATATTCCACTAAGATGCGACACTCCATCTGTCGGTCAACATATTGACCAACATGTCGACTGACTAGCGACCCACTATCGACTGACCTGTTGACCGACTATCGACCAACTGTGGACAGATATGTCGGTTTCCATGTCGGCTGACACTACCTGTAGTAAAATTGATCCTTCACTCTTGGGGGTGAAATGGTTAAAGAACCAAGTGTGTCAGTCCTTCAGCAAGTCAATTATTCTGCCTCTTATTCAGTCAGTTAGTCAGTCATCCTGCAAGTCCACTCAGTCTGAAATTATTTTACTTACCAAGAATCTCAAGGATGGTTTCCAAAAATGTTAAGGGTGTTGTGATTAAGATGTGATAGTCTAGAGTCTGCAGAATCCTCAATTCTGACTTCAACATGCTTCCCAGTGTGTAACAATGGCCGATTGAGTTCAAAAACCTCTGACCTTTGCTTGGAGTTATTGCCTGTGATAAAAACGACAATGTTACTGTAAAAACGTACTTTGGTCGTGAATTTCTCTCATATTTTCAACTCCAACCAATGAAAATGTTGGCCTAGATGATTCAGATTAGGTATATCTTCAAAAAAAAATTAAGATATTTTTGGAAGGCTTTTGGAGATGACAAGAAGAATTTTCGTGGTATCAATAATCATTCAGATTTTCTAATGAAAATTTTTGCCAATTTTTATGAAGTAATACACGAGGAAAGTTCTCCAAGGTAGACTTCAGGCGGACACACTTTGTTTTTGCAAGAAGTTCTTGCCTTGTAGTGTGAAGTCAGTTTGCTTGCAAGCTGCACACAAGACATAACTCGAAGCGGCAGCTGATTTTTTACTCTGTTCTCCACCTCTTTCCAGTTTCTCTGCAGGTTTGTCTCTGAATTTGAACGAATTAACTCATAGAGATCACAAACATGCTTCGCCATGAATCTATGGGAAGAATTGATAGAATTGATTAGTTGAAGTCAATCATACCCCGAGGAGAAAGTGTAATTTTGCGTCGGATAATTTTGGCTATTTACACTTACCTGTCAAAAATTTCAATTGCTAAAAAGCGGGTTTGAGTCGGTAAACCCATTTCTTCACAAAGTAGAAAAATGTATTCTGGAAAACACGAACGAATCCAAACATAAGTTTAATTTGCGATTTTCTTTTACTTCAAAATGCACAAAATAAGTGGAGGGTCGAACTTGAGTTACCGGCATTTTTGCCCCCTTTGAAAAAGCCTTGCATGCCATTAGCAGTGTTCATACTTTTCTCGTTTTCAGCAGCAAGAGCGTATAACGCTTCTTCCAGTAACTCTGGTGGCAAACATGCTGTCTTCATGTTGAAGACAGGTTCTGGAGGGGTGCCGAAAATCCTGCTTTTGGACATTTTGAAAACGCAAAAAACTCTACCAGATAAAACACCGGGATACTACTTGAAGAGAAGAACCGTCTTTAAGAACAATACTCTGCACTTTTCCCAAATAACTATGGTTTGACAAATAATATTACTGTATTTGAAAACGCGTGCTCGCTAGAATTTGGCGGGAACTGAATTAGTAAGCATCTTGGGTCCGGCGGAAAAAGCTTGGCGACTGCCACTTTCTCGAGTTTATTCGGTGTTTGCGCGTATTCTGGGCATTAAACAGGCAAAAATACATCGACATTTTTTAGTTGATCTCTTTTTTTTTTTTTTTCAGAATTATAACAGATAAGTATGCTACGGCAGGCCACTCGGCTGGTAGTCTGAGTACTAATATAATAAAATTTCCATATTTGGATAACGTCGAAGGAGGGTTCACTTCCTTTTGGATTCTTCAAAGCTGAAGGTTGTTTCTGTTTATTTCTACGTTTTAAGATGCCGGTAAGTACTTGTTCATTGCTGTGGGTGCATGATAGTGCTGTACAAAAGACCAAGGCCATATTAAACTTTTCCACGTTCTCTTAAAAGGCGTATCACTCGGCGTTATCTGCTCCCAGTTCCTTGTGCAAGATGGCGGTGCTTCCCATCAACACGAAGTTCAAAGGCCCAGCTCCGCCTGGAGGTACCACACACAATTTTTACTTCTCTGGCATTCGCAAAGAGAACTCAGTTTTACGAATCTGTTTCATTATGACCTTACCATGATTTTCAACAGTTTTGATTTTGGAGTTTGTCGGGTAATTAATTAAGTTTGATTTGTGACTAACTTATGTAGGAAGGATGCAATTTGTCAATTTCTTGTTGATTTCAGATGGAAATAACGATATCATAGATGAAGCGATCTATTATTTTAAAGCCAACGTGTTCTTCAAAAGCTATGAGATAAAGGTATTTTTGTAACTACAGTGGTATGATAAACCAAAGTGGGTTATGAGGAAAAGGTTTGAGGGAAAATACAATCCATAACATATTAAATGAGTGCATTAAATCAGAAATGAAATAGGGGATAGACAGTTAGTGGTGTATGTTGTTGACAGCTGATTGTGTGTTCCACAGGAATCCGAGCTAAAAGTGTTTCTGTCAAAAAAACAAAACAAAACAAAAAAAAAAGACAAAGGAAGAGAGAGAAATTTCCCAAGTTAACCTCAAGCTTTCCATTTATTAAGCTTCTAAGTGTCCCTCTGCTACCTTGCAATCATGATAAGGGAGTAAGTCAAGTAACAACTTTATTTAGGGAGGGTAACACATGACAGTTAAATGGATAAACTAGTGGCCCTCTGAAATGGTATGGTAAGGTTTTACTCCAAAGCTGATGTTTCAACTGTTATAGCTCTTTGTCAGAGTGAATAGAGGAATTGTGGGTTACATAGACAGGTAAAAATGAACAATATAAAATCCCGTTGTTTCGGTGACTTCATGATGCCATTATCAAGGGTACAAATGAAATTAAAATTAACAAATGCGAGTTCAAGAGTTACAACTAATTTGCATAGGGGAGGTAGCTATACAAATACTTTAGCACAGATAGAATCCGTTTGCATGTTCAAACTCGGTGTTAATTGTTTGATGTAAAGCATCTGGTTAATTTTGTTTTCATTTGTACCCTTGATAATGGTGTCATGAAGTCGCCAAGACGTCGGGATTTTATATCGTTCGTTTTTACCTGTCTATGTATTACTAAATCTTTGTTAATATGAATTGTGGGTTGTGTGTGTTTTTGTAAAGAGAAATATGCATTTGAAACCATACGACGGGAGTAGAACTCGTGACAGTTGTTTTATTTACGACTCTAATAGTATGGTCTTTTGAACTTGATGCATCTTGAAATATGTAAGTTGAGGATACAGGGTCACTGAAATCCACATTAAAACTAATATTCTCTAGACAATGAGGTTAAAAGCACGACTTTGTATTCTTAAGTTTTAGCCTGAAAATGGTTTCGGAGGGTGGAGTGACCAGTTATGAAGGTTTTTAGGTGATCTTGAGTGGACTGTTTTTCATATAAATGCTTTTTATTATTATTATTACTATTATCAGCCAAACAACACACTTTCTCCAGCTTTTTAACATTTATTGATTGAATTTTGAAATATTTTTAGTCTGAAGCAGATCGTGTTTTGATTTACCTAACGCTTTACATCACAGAATGTTTGAAGAAGCTTCAGAGGGTATGTTGATGCCACTTAATGACCAAGTCTGTTAATATAATAGTCCCTTTTACAGTTGTGGGCTTGTTGGCCAAGCCTTTGAACAGGAGTGAGGCTATGGGTGACCCTGTTGTGATAGAGACCTGTATCTAGTTAGCATGATAACAAAAGGAATTTGCATTTGAAAAGCAGCAACATCTCTATCATAAAAAGGTCACCCTTAGCCTCACTCCTGTTCAAAGGCTTGGCCACTAAGCCCACAACTGTAAAAAGGACTATTTAGCTGATTTGGATGGAAGAAAATTTTGGTTCTTTATAACATATAACTGAAACAAAATTCTAGAATGCGACTGGTTATCACCAACTTGATTTGAGCATAAGTAGGACAGTGTTAGCATCATGCCAGTGTTGTTTGAAGGTATGCAACTTATACATG